AGGCAATATCAAATTTCTCTGTAGATGTAGTATAAGTTACAAAGTATAGTTAAAGAATGTCAAATGTGATTCACCATCATAGAAAGTAGTAATGTGATAAGATTAGTGAACAAGAGAAAAAAAAACAAAAAATAAGGTAAAAAAAGGAGAGATTGTCTCTATTCTTTAGCAAACAGAGCAAAGAACAGTTAAAGTAGAGAGAAAATAGGAGGTTGGACCAAGAACAGCCTCATTTTCCTCCTTTAATCTCGTTTTACCATATATATACAAACATTTGCTTGTTGAATTAAAATGAAACCTTAAATATGCATATACATATATGAATGAGAGTTTCAATCTGCAAGATATCACTAGATTTTCCCACATTTCTCCATGTTGTGATTGAAAGAATAATAAATGGACTACACATTTCTAGAGAAAATAATTGTATTCTGAATTTCTGACATTTTTTTTTTTAGTCGCACTTGAGGAATGTTGATTAGTGATACACTTTAAAAGCTAGGTTTTATGGACTGTGTTTGAAACCATTTCTTCATGTAACAGAGAAATCAACACTCATTACATAGATATGAGTAGTTTACCTCGAAGGCAAGGGCAATTCTTGGAGACTTTGGAGTCAATTGGATCTCTATAGTCTATGGATACAAACCATCAAAACATGTTTTACTTTGCTCTTTCTTGGTTTCCCACCACTCCTTTGCTTAGTTCTGGAAAGAAAAATGATGAAACAAAGAAGTAATAAAAACTGACTGAGAATCACTCTACATATGCTCTAAATCTACTGAAAGCAAATCTCTCTCTGTTTTGTTGAGATAGACGTGTACAGCAAATCTTGTTGGAGAAAATCAAGGTAAAAAAGATGCTAGAAGAAAATACTCTGGAAATTGGTTTCTTATTGGATAAACTCTATACTTCTGGGACAGGATTTTGTTTCTTCTTCTCAGTAGTAAGTTTTGGCTCTTTATGAGCTTTTATAATTAAAAAGTCCATATCTCAATAGGATCTCAAAGACTTTGATCACTTGGGAACAATAAGGTGAAAAAGAAAGGTAAAGGAGACACAACAACATGCCAATCTGAACAGTTATTCCACTATGTTACTCACAGGAACTATCTAACCAGAAACCAGCTTGAAGAAGATATAAGAGATAGAGATATTCTTTCAAGTGCCAATCAAATAGCATACAGCACAAATCGGTTCATCAAACCCGAAAATGCAAAAAGAGTTAAGAAGAAAATGTCTCCGAAACTTCTGAGAGAACAAAGTAAAGAAAAAAGCCAACATAAAGGATAATGAGTTTGCATCATCAATGGTCCAAAGGAAACAAAACTACAATCCATAAGAGATGTAAACAAAAGCTACGAAGTACGAACAATCTCACTGTTCCACAATATAAAAAGTCTAATATAGCATTTCAAATAGATTCTTCATTCCTCAACTGCGATCTTGCCCTTCTCGCTCACATAGATACCATCAAGAAACTTCCTAATATCCTTCTTCTTCACATGGCATTTCTGCTCAACATCAATAACCCATCATCAAAAACATACTCAATAAACATACATAAACAAAGGGTAAAGGTAAAGTATCCATCTTTACACATGACAACACATCCAAACCCATCACAACTCAGATTCAGTAATCATTACATACACTTTTCCTAAGTTTCTACACCATTTCAAAGAAACCCATTTGATAAAACATTAAAGCGAATCAAAGAGCAGAGAATACCTGATTGATCAAAGCGCATGACCTTGAGACCAACTCAATATCATTTCCTTCAAGAGTAATCTCATCCTTAACCTTCTCAGATCGAACAATGGTCACACCATCCAACATATCTACCTTCCTAACCTGTTCCAGATCAAACCCAATACTCAAAACTCTCTACAAAAAAACCACATTTCCAAAACCAAAACCCTAAAAACAATCAGATAAACGAACCTTCTTCTCGCCAAGGAAGTTACGGATCTCGATGGATTTGTTGTTACCAGAGATCGAAGCATTGATTGGAAAATGAGCATACACGAACCTCATCTTGTAAAGGAAACCTTGAGTAACACCAGCGATGAGATTGTTGACGTGACTTAGAGCAGTTCTGATCGAAGCACTGGTTTTACGAGTCCCGAACCACGAATCGATCTTGAGCTGTCTCTTTCCAGTGACCTCGTCTTTGATCAACTGGAAATCGAGGTTAAGATGCTTGAAATCGCGAGTGAGTTTCCCTCGAGGACCTTCCACTTCAATCACCTTGGCGTGAACCTTGATTGAGACACCGTCGGGAATGTCCATCGTCTCAGATGACAATATCGTCTTCATTTTTTACGTCTCTGGGGGAAAAAAGTTTCGACTTCAAAGAGACGCCTCTTTAGGGTTTTTGTGTGAAGAAGGTACAGAGGAACCCTAAATTTGATTATAAATAGGTCGCTTTGCTCTGTGTAGGTTTTTTTTTATATTGGGTAATAAAAATGGGCCGTGAGATTATGTAAAAGCCCATACATGAATCGTAAGGCCAATACATGAATCGTAAGGCCCATCATTCAAAGAATTTTGCAATCAGAACAAGAACATAATTTTTGAGTCTGAGCCAATCTAAGTGAAATAAACAAATATGTTACCTAAAATTATGGTCAAAAGCAGCTTGTATTCGTAAATGCTTTACTTTAACTAATTAAATTAAATACAGTCAAGTCAAGCCATTGATATTATTCCCAAATATATTAGAGTTTTACATTGTTCAATTGCTATCTTGGATACATATTATATGTTTTACCAAATTATAAGAAAAAATGCTTTATCATTTACTTGCCAAAATGGGTAGAATTTACTCAATATATATATGCGACCATTGTGTAAGAAATTGAATATATAGAACATCAAGAGTAAGAAAATGACTTCTCCCCTAGTGTTGATATTCTCTCTTTCATTGCTTTGCCTCCATGGAAAGTATCTGTCTATTACGGTATGTGGCAATTTTGTAAGTACTTTGATGTAAGCTTATGGTAAATATAATGTTTTAATAAAAAAATTTATCATATTGGCAGCCTCAAGAACCCGAATTTGAATGCGTTGATATCTACAACCAACCTTCACTACAGGATCCTCGATTAAGAAATCATCAGATTCAAGTATATATGTTTATATATTTTATATCCTTGTATTGATTTAATTTCACACCTCTGAAATTGATTTGATCGTTTAATTGTATTTACATCTTGTTTCTTACATGTGATCGCCTAGATGAGACCAAACAATGAAGTCTTAACCATGTTATCCGTTGATGCGTCATCATAAACTTTATCTAATGATGAATTGATAGCCGAATTTGATGTACCAAGAGAAGGATGTCCTAATGGACAAGTACCAATCCATAAACCAAGAAAGTCCAATTACACCGAAAAACATTTTCATACTAATAGCTATGGAACTATTGGTGAACATGTAACATAACTAAACTTTATACTTTTACTATGTGATCCAAATCCAATTTGATGTGTATATTTTTATTATGTTGTATATATATAGGCTGCTTTCATTTACAAAACTGAACCCGTTCCGTGGCGTGGAGCATCTGCATGGGTTAGTGTTTACCAGCCTAAAGTAACTAAGGACCAAGCCAGCTTGGTTTTGCTTTGGCTAGAAAACGGGCATAATCGCCAACTCAACACCATCCAGTTTGGTTTGGCTGTAAGA